ACTGACTATAACACATCTTCACATTGTTATCTACAGCTGCTACTGACTATAACACATCTTCACATTGTTATCTACAGCTGCTACTGACTATAACAGTTCTTTACATTGTTAACCCACAGCTGCTACTGACTATAACACATCCTCACATTGTTATCTACAGCTGCTACTGACTATAACACATCTTCACATTGTTACCCACAGCTGCTACTGACTATAACACATCTTCACATTGTTACCCACAGCTGCTACTGACTATAACACATCTTCACATTGTTACCCACAGCTGCTACTGACTATAACACATCTTCACATTGTTACCCACAGCTGCTACTGACTATAACACATCTTCACATTGTTACCCACAGCTGCTACTGACTATAACAGTTCTTTACATTGTAACCCACAGCTGCTACTGACTATAACACATCTTCACATTGTTACCCACAGCTGCTATTGACTATAACTCATCTTCACATTGTTATCTACAGCTGCTACTGGCTATAACACATCTTCACATTGTTACCCACAGCTGCTACTGGCTATAACACATCTCCACATTGTTACCCACAGCTGCTACTGACTATAACACATCTTCACATTGTTACCCACAGCTGCTAATGACTTGTGGCATGTGAAGACACTGTGACTGCACCTCGGCAAGTTTTTAATGTTAAATTTTATTTACATTTATCATGTAGCAGTGAACGAGTTAAAGTCTCCAAAAAGGGAACTTGTACTGTTGTCCACCGAAATGTACTTTTAAACGCTTCTTGATAAACGTCACGTTGTATAAAAATTGACCTTATTATAATATTTATAGGGTAGTTTTGTTACAAGTCTCGCCAAAAGGTATGAACAAGTGGCTTTAATGCTTGAATTGAGGACACGGTCATAGTGTATTACTTAATAATAAGTTTCTAATAGTTAGCAGACCACCTATTTAATCATGCTTGTAAGCAGGAAAATAACTATTGTAATTAAAGTTTAGATTTGTTTGAGCTTGTTATTAAGCACAAAAGTAACTATAAATAACGATAAGCCTCATGGAGCGACGTTAACAGTAACTATAAACAACGATAAGCCTCATGGAGCTACGTTAACAGTTATATAAACAACGATAGGCCTCATGGAGCGACGTTAACAGTAACTATAAACAACGATAAGCCTCGTGGAGCGACGTTAACAGTAACTATAAACAACGATAGGCCTCATGGAGCGACGTTAACAGTAACTATAAACAACGATAGGCCTCAT